ATTATTAGTTTATTTAATTTTACTATCTTTTTTTTTTTTTTTTTTTTAACTCAGATTTTTGTGAACGTTTTATTTTGGAGCAAGAATAGACGAACATCGGTATTCAACAAGGTGCAAAAAGATGCTGAAGCGCGTGGAATTGAAATTCCGTCAATCTTCTCAGATATTGATGAAGAATCTGGCATGCCAAAATTGTTTTCTAAGGATGTAAACGAAACAACGCTACCAGTTACTGTGGAAGAAACAATTCAACAAAATGTTGAAACTGAACAAATTGCGCCAATTCAATCATCAACTGAGCTATCTCTTCCAAAAACAGTGTTCTGTGATATCGCTGTACAAACTTGCCTTTTATCATTGTATGTATTTGACAATTCTACTGAATTACGATGCCTAAAAGTAAAGAATAGATTAATATGTGATACTGTAAAAATCTTTTATTCTATTTTGGATTACAATCCATTGATTGTAATGATTGTAATGAAACAACAAATAGATATCATACAGTATGCCTGAACTATTTTTAGCGATGATAAAGGAGAGCAAACATTAATTGTGACACTATTGGATACAGCTATCGTAACTGATCCCTTAATTAATGAAATGGTTGAAGAGGCTGTTCAATGTGCTAATCCTGTATTAATTCATAGTATTACACAAACTGAAGTAATCGAATTGCGAGATAATGAATGTATTACGGTTATGCCTGAATATACGGTTTGTATTTTCGCATTATTCAGAATATTAATTTTTCAAATTTAGTGAAGTAGTTGAGACATTAACAGTTTCATGAATCAATTTTATTCAAAAGGGTTAAGTAATTGAAAATAAATTAGTTAAGGTTTCATTTTACGATTATTATATATGCGAAATCTTTTGAATTTTTTAATTTCTTTGGTTAACATCATATTGTATTTGAAATCAAATCTGTTTTAAATAAAATATTAATGGATGAAAATTTCTGATATAAAAAATCATTATTAAATTTATATTTAAATATTACCTTTTAATAAATTATAGATACGTGATGTACAAACGGATGAAATAAGATTAGCTGAGCAGGAGATTCAAACTCATCTATATGATATCTTAGAAGCTATCACTCAAACTGAAGACGATGAATTTATTCAGAAGCCATTTGTAGAAATAATAGAGAGTGAAATGCAAACTGATCCTATAGTAAGGAATTTTTTATTCTTTTTATTGATTAATCGATTAATCGAAATTTAAATTATTCTTTTCTATTTAATCATTTTACAACAGTTCAATTAAATAATTAAGATTCTGGAAGAATGCAAAAATGAATCAGGAATGTCACGAGTGAAGGAACGATTGTTGAGCGAAACACTTGCAAAAAGGAAATCCATATCTGATTCTACGGATTTCGCAGAGGATGAAGAAGTTATAGATGAAGATGAGGAAACTAATAATCTTGATTGGAATCCCATTGATGGTATGCATGCTGAAAGGCAGCGTCCGGTACGAGATTTAAAGAAATTTTTTGAAACCAGTAAAAAAAGAGGCTCATTCAGACGACGATCACAAACTCGACTTTCAATATCTCCATCTTCGTCCGGAAAAATTAGATTTTGATGAATGCTAAATTTACCATTTTTTATTTTGTATTTTCCCATTAGTGGGACTCAATTTTTGAAAAATTTGCTTCAGCTTATTATTTGTAATTATACATATTCCCACTTCATGGTACTTTTTTCTTTTAATTTTAATTTTATTTTTTTATGATTTACATAAGCGTTAAAAGTGTATTTAGCATGAAGTTATTGGTTTTTGTCATCATTTTGGTCTAACAAATTTTTGAGATAAATTTAAAAAAGAAAAAAAATTGAAGGCATCTATAATGATGATAATAAAATGGAAATAATTGCAATTAAGTCAAAACTGTATGTTGAAATTTGTCAATTACCAAATATACTCATCGATATTAGAGCAAATAAAGGATGATTTTTTGATTAAATTATATTAATTAAATAAAAAAAAATTTAAAAAAAGGCGAACATATATAAACTAGATGTGAATAAATGAATTTGCTAATTGAATTGATTGTTTGAGTATTTTCAAGTCAAATGCTAATTTAATGTGCATATAATAATATAAATTTATAAAAAGAAAAGGAAAAGTGTTAAGAATTTATACAGTAATGTATACAATTACTAGCATTACATTAAATGTAATTAAAACAATTAATTTAGTACAAATTAACCG